CCCCAAAACAAAGGAAAGAGGCCCCCCCCCCCTTCGGGAACCCCCCCAGGGAAATCTCCCCCCCCCCCCCCCCCCCCCCCCCCCCCCGCTTGTCCCGCCGTATGACCGCAATACCCAATCCCCCCGCCCAAACCGGTGGTAACCGGCGATTATTCCCCATCTCTTCTCTGTGGCTGTGGCTGCGGCGGTGTCCGTCTACCTGTCGGCAGGCAAGGGGAAGAGCGGAAAGAGGGGCCGGGGGAAGCAGGGCGGGGGCGGGGCGGGGGGCAGCGGCGGCGGTAGCTCCGCCGTGCGTGCACGACTGAGCGAGGAGCTCACCACTTATCTCCGCCGGTATGTCATATACCACTTTTGTTTTATGTGTGTGTGTGTTTTTTGTGGGGCTGCACGCGGGGGAGGGGGGGGGTGCTCTCATGCTTTTTTTTATCTCTTGTGTTTTTTTCTCGGAGAGTGTTGACTTGACTTCGTCGTGGTTATTTGCTGTTGTTTTGGTGTGTGAGTCGCTTTCGGGAGGTGCTGCTACTGTGTTATGTTTTGTTGTTTCTTGGTCTCCACCTTATTCTTCCGCTGCTGGGGGAGGTGCGGCGGCCCAGATGTTTTTATTCCTGTCTCCGTCTTGTCGCCGTCCACAACGCCGCCTCGCTTGAAGAGCTGCCGACTGTTTCGCCCATCCGACGACATGCACCAGCGCGACGTTTGAGGAGGTACGTGTTGTGAACATCTGGTGGAACGTTTTTTCTCACCGCTGCTTGTGCTCGCCGCGCTTGCCGGGTGTGTTGGGGTTCCAGATGTTGCGATGCGATTTTGTCGCGGGACGAGCCGAAGCGCAGCCGTGCGCTGGCGAGCTTGAGGGAGGACCCGGGTCTGCAGCAACTTCTCCCGCATTTGTGCACCTTTATCCAAACAAAGGTGTGTGTTGTCCTAGTAGTCGTTCGGAGTCGGAGGAGGGTGTCGGCGTTAGGTCGTTACAGAGCCGCACGTCCGCTGTTTTTTGTTGTTGACGGCGATGTTCTGCAAGGCCACGCCAACAGTCACGGGGCCCTCTACCCAGCGTGGCACGTGGTATACATTTGTTTGCTTGTCAGGGGCACCGCTATGTGACACCATTGTCTTGGTCGGGGGTAAATGGACGGTGCGTTTGTATGGTTCACCGATCTCAAAGGAAGTTGACGCTCATTGTTTGCGCAATTGGACGTTTTTTTCTGTGCGCCCTTTTGTCTCTGTTGTTGACGTACCTGAGCTAGGCACGTCTGACGGTATCTACTTTATTAGTATGGTATGGTATGCTGCTGAAGGGGCCTTTCACGGGTTTGTACTGATGGTATGACAACGAACCAGAAAACGCTTGGTCACGTAGGCTACAATATTTGTTTTGTGAAACTCCACCGCAAAAGAGCCCCAACAGCAGCTGCTGTGACCAAAACACACCCACAGGACCATAAAACAATCAACTGCTGCTCCTGCATATGAGCCTCGAACAGAAACCACGACACAACCACATGACCATAAAAACGATAAGCGAAAACAGCAGCAGCAGCAGCAGCAGCAACCAATGACTCTCAAACAACTTCGACGTGGCTCGCGTCGGTTTAGGTGCCGGAGTACCTGAAGCGGCAGAAGGAGCCGGACCAACTGGCGGCGTTGCTGCAGATGCTCCAGTGTCTCCTCAACAACAAGAACTTCGCATTCCTCGAGATTTACGTGAGTGGTGGCTACTAACACTTGGTACCAGCTTTTTTCTTGCCCTCGTCGGCGCGGGCGTGGTCCCGGTTTCGCGGTCCATGGTGTCACAAAAATGTTACAAGCCCAAAGAGAATCAGTGCAAAGTCTTCTTACAGCCCACAAACATTTCTTGGGATTCTGGGGAAGGATTTCCAAATCTGAACCAGTATATATATTTCCATTTTTGGTGGGAGTACGATGATGTTTGCTCGTCGGCGACTGCGAGTGCATCTCAACTGTGTCCTGACAAGACCATCAAAAGGGTGCGCATATTTAGTCACGGTACGCCCGTCCTTGCTTATGCTTCGTGGCAACGTTTCTCTCATTTTACATGCGTTTCGATCTGTTGTCTTTCCCAGCTCGATCGGCTCTTGCCACCGTTGATGAGCTGCCTACTTCACATAGACTTCGAGCGAGCAGGACTCGACACCGGGGGTTCCGCGAACAGCGATTCCTCTTCGTTTGGGGGTATGGGAGTGCATTCCGCGGCGCGCCCCAAGTGGACGCACTGGGACGTTCGGGACTACGCGGCCGAGCTTCTCCGAGCTATCTGCGACAAGTGAGAGAGGCAGAGGAGGGTAGGGGGGGGTGCAGAGAGAAGGATTACGGGGGACGGGGTTACACACGCCGTCAGAGGAAGACGTTTATATTGTGATAATTTCTCCTGCACAAATCTCGGAAACTGAGTGACCCAGCGGATTTTTCACGAAGACGTGATCATAGGTTCCCCCGACATGCCGCCGGGGAAGAGACGTTACCCTTAGGAGCCCCGCAGAATGGGGCATGATTGGAGGGAAAAAAAGTGGTCAAGAGCTACCCCTCCCCCCTGCAACAAAAACACCCCCCGACAGTTGAAATATCTGGACGATAGATCTGCATCATCAGATTTTTTCACTCAAAGGTATTCAATCACCCCCTTCCGTCCTGGCGGTCTCGTAGGCTGTGTCATGTTGTTGCTGTGCTCTTCTCTATCTTGAGCGTTTTCGGGCTGGAATTGTGGCTTGTTTATTCCCATCCCCTGTGTCGTACGCTGACACCGACCGGTCAAGCAAAGCCGTGGCAAACAAAACATGCAGCACAAGGGTACGTTCGTTTGACACTTGTGAGAGCTCCATGTCACCCCTTTGTTACACAGTTTTATGACACTGAGAGCTCTGGCTCATCATCCTGGGTTGATGCACTTTGACCCTCAAAACTCTTGCTCATGCTTTGTTGATGCACGTCGACGCTGAGATCTCGATCTCGCCCTCTGATGACCCCCTTCCGCTACCTGCATGCAGGCACGGCAACACCTACCCGACGCTTCAGGCACGAGCGAACGATATGTTTGACACCCACGTCGCGAGGCCGAAGACCAGGCTCACCACCCTCTACGGAGCTATCACAGGTACACGCTGACAGCGTGGTGGTGAGATACCGACATGTGTCTTCGGATATCGTCCGCTTTTACATCACCGGAGTGGTGCGGGTTCACTCAAATATCCCAAGACTGTGGGTGTAGTTGTGTTGGTTGCCTCGAGCGTTGGTCTGCTTCCTTCCTTTGAGTACCCCGTCAGCGCATGAACCCGCGCGTCTCATGGTGGCAGTGTGAACTTGCCGTCCCCGCAAAACCTACAGCGGAGATTGAGTCCGTCCGGATGATGGTGGTTTTTACCCGTTTGCCGCTGCACAGAGTAGACCGACAGCTTGTTTGCTCACAGAAAGCTGGTCGAAGTGGCAAGCGAACCGGACTCAGAAGGTTGGGAACAAGCTCGGTTTATCCCCAGGGTGCTGTTTGCTGTGCCTTCTCTCCCGATTCCTCGGACTTTTAGTTGTCTTTTTCGGCCCAGAGCGGACTCGAATGCACCCGTAAGACGACGACAACCGTAGCACAGGGCTCGTTATTGGCACGCGTAACCCCCCACCCCCCCCTTCCCCCATCTTGCTCACGCTTGCCGACGGCCTGCTTGAACAATTTTCTCGGTCGATCGTCGAAAGGGGTGGCTTGTCTGGGCCGCATGCCGGTGGAGCAGACCCTGGGGCCTAGGGTAGACAGCTTGGCGGACAAGATCTCACAGTCCTGCCTGGCGGCTACGCTAAGGCGGGATACGAAGAGCGTGACTGAGGCCAACCAGTGCCGCATTGCACTGCTGGTGAGTTTTTTTTTTTTTCTGGAAAACGTATATATAGCGAAAGACAGACTACAATACTCGTTCGAGATATAACCACAGCAGTGGACAGGGATTGTTTGAAGTCTCTACAGTGAGTGGGAGAGAACAACCGGCTGGATACTGGGCTTATTTTCAATTTAGCCTTACGCTGATTTTTTATGAGAGATACAAGCTGGTGTTAAGCACAAGAATATGTGTACAGTATTTTTTTCTTGGGGCGGCGTACGACTGACGGGGCAAGTCGCATGGCGCAGCGCAGAAGCGATGTTGCACCCTCGACAGCACGGAAACGAAAAATGTGAATTGGCGGATCCCGCCTTGGCGAAGACACTATAAAACAGTCATTTTCTGTGAAATAGAGAAGGGGATTTCGTAGACCTAACCCTAACCCGTAACCCCAACTAAATCCCAGCTTAATGTCTTCGTGAAGGCTACTGGAAGTGGCTTGCCGTCCTAGACAAGGAGAGTGAGCACGGCCAACGCGCAACCACCAAGACTCGTGGTCGAGAAAGGAAGCAGAGTGACAACCCCGGGACATTGTCGGGTTTGCTGAGTAAAAGACGGTTGCGGCTGAACCAAGCGGCCTCGAGCCATCCCGTGGCGGGGTTCGAAGAGTCGGGCGTTTGGATTGAGGCCACACAAAGTGTGCCGGGCACCGTTCGCCCCCCGTGCCGTAGGTGTAGAGAACGTCGGTGCCTTTCGGCGCTGAATGTATGTCCACGACGCTGAGCGTTGAGGGGTATGGCCTGGACCAAAAGCTCTTGCCGCCACATTTTTTCGAGGCCGTGGTTACTTTTGGCACCGATGACCGCTTGGGTGGCAGATCGAAAAGCTTGACGACGACCGGCGGACCCTTGAACAAGTAGAGCGCACTTCACCGCCACAGGGCTTTGCTTCGTTCATCAAGTCGCATGGTGCAGCGCAGAAGCGATGTTGCACGCGCATGGTGCGAGTAGGCCTTGCGCATTCCTTGCGGCCTCTGCAGCACGAGAATGAATAATGTGAATTGGCGGATCCCGCCTTGGCGAAGGCACTAAAATAGTCGTTATCTGTGAAATAGAGTGGGGGATTTTGTGGCCCTAACCCTAACCCGTAGCCCCCACTAAATCCAAGCCTAATATCTTCGCGAAGACTACTGGAAGTGGCTTGCCGTCCTAGCCAATTAGAGTGACAGGTGCTCCCACCGGCAGTATATTGATCTGCCTGTGTCCCGAATACGTGTTCGACAGCCAGAGTGGTAGACGCTACGGCTCTGTCTCACTTCCCGAACCCTCCACCGCCCACCCACCCACCCACCCACCCTGCAGCGAGCGATAGGGTTTGGGACGATCGCCTGCACGGACGACTTGTTCGGCGAACCTGGCCTGAATGCCGAGAGAACAGGCAGAGGGGGCGAGCCGAAGCAAGGCAGCAGCGGCAGCGGCAACCCCGCCGCGGGCGGCAGCGTTAGCGAGGGCGGAGCAAAGAACGGGACTAGTAACAGCAGCGCGAACGGTGCGGCGAGGCCTTCGCACGGCCTTCGCAGACGAGCAGACCGCCTGCGGAAACGCCTGGACAGGTCGTTGTACTCCCCTCTGACGACCAAATCGGCCGCCGCCGCCGCAGCAGCAGCAGTAGCAGGCGGTGCTACCGGCACCGCAGCAGACAAGGGCAAGGCTGGCAGCAGCGGCGGCGGGGCAGAAGACGACGACGGTGGGAGCGTTGCCGCGGACGGCTTGGACGAGGTGATCTTCCCGTGGTACGTAGTGGGGCTGAGGAGAGACGGCGCCCCGCAGAGCTGGTGGCTGACGAACAAGCTCAGCACGTTCGTTTGACGGGCGACCGAGCGACGCCGATGCGCGTCCCTGGGACCCGTTTAGCGCGTGAGGACCGGTGTCATATCTCGGAGAGGCGCCGTGTCTTCGACGGGTGTGTCGACTGCGACAACGATGCCAGGCAGCGATTGAGCTTTACCCCAGGAGCAGACTGGAACGGCGTAGAGCTTCGCGAAGGGAGTCCGCGCTCTGGGGCGGTGGATGGTGTCGTGCTCTATTGCGGCGGGGGTGGTTGCCCCGTCGTGTTCCTCGACAGCGTGCGGTGAATTGCAGATCGTCATGTGTCATGGATAGTTGAGTCTTTTATAGGGGCGGTTGTCGCTGTACTTCTGTCGGGGTAACGCGTATAGTAAGGGCTTGGTTTCACTCTTGGTGAAGGTTGTACGATCTGCCAGATCTACTTCCTTTCGCGTAGGTGCGCTTGCCTTGGCATGGTGTGGCTATTTACTCCAAGCTACTCTCGCGTTTCGGCCGCCACCCGATAGTGTGACACGAAGACGTCTCGCACAAGCGTAAGTTCGCGTTTTGATTCAACATGGCTAGCGACGGGGGGGTATCAGTTTCTATAGTTTAACTGGAAGGTTCTCGGTGAAGTTCTCGCTTGGCGGGAGATCCAATAGAACTTTCTTGAACGGCAACGGTTGAAAGACATTGCGGGACGACTGTTTCGTTCTTTACTGTAAGACTGCCTGTCTGCATAAACGTGAGCTGCATTGAGATGCCTATAGAGAGTCGGGAGACTTAAACATCATAATGCGAGAACGAGCCGCCCACGGAGCTGTCGCATGTCAGGGCTCACGGAACGATTTAACGAACGCGAATCCACGGGTACACCGTCTCACTCGCCGTTTTTTACCACCAGCAGTGAGTGTTCGAAAGTGTTTTTGCCCGATTGATTTCGAAATTCCTTCGCCTGCGGAAGACAAATGTGTAAGAACACTTCAAGCGCTTGAGATGAGAGTCTTCGTGCACAAAGAACGATGTCGAAGACTTGTATCGTGCGGCAAGGGGTGTGCCTGTGGGTAGGTGCAAGCCCAAGGAGTTTTTTTTTTCTCTATTACACCTGGAGGCGTGTTTGTAATGTCGTGGTGAAACGACATGGTATTCTTTTTGTGTGAGGTGATATTGGGCAGAGTGTGGGGTGCACTCGACCATGCCTGTGGCAGGTAGGCGCCGAACATGGATTTGTTGTTCTCAAAACTATCTTGCTCGAACTTTGACTTGCTCGCTTCGGTGGTGACAATTGGCAAGAATGGGGCACGTGCCCGGGCTATCCCAACAACTGCCTTAGTTCCAATTATAACGCCAGCATGAATCCTGGGCAGTGGCATGCGTACGTGGATATATAGATGGATATGGTAGCAGATTTACCCGCCCCCAAAGGCAGATACTCTTCTAGACTGGACTACTTGTACACTGTATCCAAATTAATCCTGAAACACTCAAGAACCATAATATCATGACGAGGGCGCGTCGTTCGGCGACTAAAATTGCTATGGGAAGGGCAGAGCCGGCGGGTTCATAAACAACAGTGCTGTGATACTCTCGGTTTTTCTCCTGTATCCGGACATGCGTACGGTGTCCGTGTCCGGTGCATTTGATTTGCATGATGTATATTTGATTTATTAATAGTACATTTCGCCGCGTACGGGGGTATGTGACTTCGATATTTTCGGTCTGTGAGGCCCCCATGCTACCAAACCAAACCAAGACCCACCCCGCGTCACACCTGACCTCGGACAACCGACGCGGACAACCTCGACTGGAAGGTACGCGTTGCTACCTCGCTACCGCGTTGTCTATTTTGGTCACGAGTGCTGGTCGAATGCGTAACATGTCTCTTGTTCGTTGCATATACGTATGCACGCGCCCGTTCGACAGCCGGCTCCCGATGACCAACTTGATCTTTTACAAAATATACCCCCGACTTATCCCGACTGACTCTATTCATCCGCTCGGTATTTCCGTACCCGCTCTGGCAACATTGCATATGGGCAACAGCGACGGCACTAGATGGACAATAGTAGTCCTACGCCATTTCTTCCGCTTTTGTGCATGTGTGGTGCGTTTTTAAGTCTGCGCTCCAGCGTCACCAGTTACCTCTGCTCTAGTCTACGTCTCTGTTTGCTAAACTTTCGCGTTGACGTCATGTGGACCCGCAGACATGTCTGGCACTGCGCCGGCAACCCCTTTGGCCTCAGCGGCACCTTCGTTTCGACGCTACCCGGCCACTGCCCCATCTACCCGTGTGACCTCTGATTCATCCGGGGGGTTGGTGATTCCGGAGGACAAAGTGGTGGTGTGGGATGACACGATGAAGCAAATGGTGGTGAAGAACCGGGACGAAGTCAAACTCACGGTGCGATTATTTTGCTGTTCTTGAATGGTTGGAGGGCTAATTTCTGATCATTTCGTCGCCACCGCGAGTGCAGGGTTTGTGTGCAGCACATGAATGTTGGATCCGCGAATGAGCGATCTTTCTCAACCCTGTGCATGATACGATCTTAGTTTTCGTGAAAGGTTTAAGAACTACTATTGTATGTAGATTCCGGAACGATTAGTCTACTACACTGCTCGCGAACCGTTCCCAGGAACGTTCTCAGGAAAAGTCCCAAGGTGAGATTGGACTGTTCCGGGGACGGTTCCAGCGTAATGGTTGACTTCTTTGTTAGGATGATCCGAACTGGGGGTAGCTTGTCGCAAGACGTGTGTTGAATAGGGTGTCGGCAACTCGGCGAACTCGCGCCAAGGAGGAAAGACGTGTTGGGTTTGTTGTATAGACTTCTTCTTCACATGAAAACATGGACTCACATGAACACATGAACACATGAACTGCACGCACGCGTGCACGCACCACCATGAGGGGGCGACGCAGTATACAACAGGGGTACCTTGCACACCCTGGAAATACGTTCCACGTACCACACAATCCTACAACCACTTGGGATTGCTACAAGTACATCTATCATTCTTGTAGCACGGTAATTTCCGGAGTTCTTATGAGTTTCGTCGGTTGGCTGCTGCTACCAAGCCCGCTACACCGGAGCTTCCTCTGTGTTGCTACATAATATGCTATATCGAAGTGTTCTGCTGTCTGCTGGTGGCCAGCAACCCCTACAAGTACCCTTCCTACTCTGTGCTTCCATCTCTGTCTAGCTGTTGTGTCGATGCGACCGTTATTGCTGCACCAACGCTAGGCAGAAACAACGCCACCGTCACCTCCTTAGTGAATGAGCTTCCCATCAGGTTCCAAGAAAACAATTATTAAAATTTCAGGCTCCACCTGACCACCGCTCGCACCAACGTAACCCTGACCCGTGTCGTGAAGGTTGTTGGAGGAAGGGATTTTGTTTTTTGTGGTGAACGTACATTATTTTCGGATACGGGTGCAACTTTCGAAAACCATGTGCACCGGAAGTTGGCGCCGATGCTAGCTGGTGGGAGGCTTGTTTGCGGACGTTTTGGGAACGCTTCTTCCGTGACCAACTTCCGTGAGATGCCATGAAGTTCGGTGGAAGGCTTCCCTAGAGCTCAAATGGAAGCTTTCACAACTTGCATTAGCCACACAATCGAAGCTTCTATCGTAGTCGAAACAATAGTGCAGCGGAATAACGGGCCCTACTCTTGTCGCAAATAAAAAGCCTTCCGTATTGCTATCTGGTATGTCTGTGGTGAACACTGGTGACGAAGTATTGAGGTAAGATGTGCACCCTCAAAATGGACGTGCACCGATTTTATGGGAGGGACGCGGCGTGTACGGTCGACAGTCTGAAGACAATCGGTGGCACCACGACTCAAGCGCGGCGCCGAACAGCTCTCTCTTCGCGATCGGCGCACATCACGGATGCTATGAAACTTGCATCATTGGTTGGAAAACTACCGTGCGCTGCTCCGGCGGGCGGATTTAGAATTTTTCTTGGCTTCCACGGGGTGTATGGTAGGTGGTATGAATTGCATGACGGACGAATGTGGTGATGCGTTGCCTTTTCGTGGCCCACTACCACCGTAGGTGACATAAGATAGCACACCCCCTGGACCGATTTCCAACGCTCGATTTCTCCCAAGCAGAAATATTGGTGGTGCCGAAGATGGGCGGCGTTGGAACCGTCTTGTCGAGAGCGTTCCGAAAACGTACCGTTTCACCTATGCATCTTCTTCGTCGTGGAGAAGTCGAGATTTGAAAATCTGTCCAGGGAGCGCGATATCTTCCGTCATGCCACCTATATTCCCACCACCTCGGCAACGATATCGTTCAAGGGCTGCCGGACTCGGCTCAACGTGGCCAGGGGTATACTTTGTCCACACAACCCACAAGCTTTGCTCTACACCCGAAGGAAGAGCATAGTCAACAGAATTCCGCGCTTGAAAGCTTTGGATTATTGCCGTTCGCGGACAGTGAATAACATCTTCACGACCACCCCTTCCTTTCCTCCCCCTCTGTGTCGGGATACGTCCGATGTTTTCGGCAGACGTGGAAATCTCGGATCAGGAACGCGGCCTGGCAGTTTTGGGCTGGGGGGCCTCCTCTGGGGGCTTAAAAAAAACAACAGTCCACTATTCTCCGCGGCGTCGGAAGCCTAACGCGAACGTTTAGGCTCGACAGACGCCGTGCCTGAGAAGCATGTTAAAAGGGGGTACGGAATACGCATATGTTTGCTGTAAGGCACAGGGGGCGGGTCGATCCCCGCTGCGCCGTGGCGCGGGTGCCGTGATGACTTGGTGGAAAAAGGCACGAAATGTGATAGAATTGAAGCGGCAAAGAACCACTCGCACCCCCCCAGCAACTGATATATACCGGCTGCAAACTCCGTAGAAGCGTGTCTAGTATCCATACCATTTTATGCCATTTGAGCGGATGTTCAATGGTATGGTCTTGCAGGTCGGATGTTAGACTTTGTTCAGTTCATGTTGTATAGCCATTGCTTGCCGAGCGGGGGCGACGAGCTACGTTTGTTGATACGTCTCGTTTGCCCCATGTGTTGCCAGCGACGGCTGCTTGTCGTCTGGCTGGGGCTCTCTGTTGTTGTTGTTGTTGTTGTTGTTGTTGTTGTTGTTGTTGTTGTTGTTTTGCTATGTTGATTGTTTTTTCGAAGTGTATACTGGTAGTTTGGGTAGTTGGCCTGTGACCACGGAAAGGCATCCGCGTCAGGGGGGCCGGTACGGATGTTAAAAGGTACTGAGCAGTACTCAGAACGGCGTTCATGTAAACATTAACGGATCATACCGTAACTGCACAACAACAAAACATTGTTGTTGTTGACGACATGAGCAGAAAACAGAGAGTGTGAAGAGCTCCGTGGGTCACCCTTCCAGGTTTCTTTTTTTCGGTTGACGGCCAAACCGTGAAGAACCTGGGAACCGTTTGGCCAGACGAAAACCGGTGCAGAATCGTTCTGGAAACCGCAGTGTTCTGGTGGGTTTTCTTCAGAATGTCTTTTGAGATTCTTTCTTGAAGGGTATATTCGAGTTTGAGGGAGCTTCTCTTTGTGCGGATGGAGCCGTTTTCCAGGTTGGTTCGTCTCTCGGTTTGCGTTGTAACTTGCTATTTCGTTGGTGATTCCTGATTCCACGTGCCAGAAGTGTGCACCCTTTTTTGGGTTGTTCAAGCGTGTACCCTTTTTGGGTGTGTGCCTTTTTTGGGTAGCTGGAGTGTGTACCCTTTTTTCGGAAGTTGAAGTGTATACCCTTTTTGGGGTTGTTGAAGTGTGTACCCTTTTTGGGGTTGTTGAAGTGTGTGTCTTTTTGGGGTAGCTGGAGTGTGTACCCTTTTTTCGGAAGTTGAAGTGTGTGCCCTTTTTGCGGTAGTTGGGTGTGTGACCACGGACTGCGTCCGCGTCGTTGGGTCGGAAGGGATGTGTGGAGGGACTGAGCAGAGACCGGAACGGTTTGTTAATGTTTGGACAAACAACATTACATGAATGTACGCGTACTCACTTCGTGCGTAGTGAAGCCCGTGCAGTCCTTGCAGTCCTCGACGAACGCAAACAGTGGTTTGTCATCGCCACGGAGACGTTTTGGGGCCGTCCCCTGATACAATGGAGTATAATATTGTTTCAACCGCATAATGTGCGCTGTTGAATCTCTTTCCCTGATTTTCACTCAAATCGAAACATTGTCCAAAGATACGTGCAACTGGTGATCCATGTCATTCCTCTATCTGGTCGAAGGAAATGAAAAAGCAATGACTTTTTGTGCGGCACTTTTCATACAGTGTTCACAATCTCTCGAAAACTACCTGTGAAATCGTTCTGCCAATGAACAGCAGTTCCGGCACCTGCAGCACTCCCGTGCACACCCAAATCCTGCAAGGTGGAATTCATTCACTCATTCCGATGAGCTGTGGCCTGCTTGGCCATGTCTACACTGAATTCCAGGCGCGGCACAGAAAAGTCCGATCTTCCAAGATACTCCTGCAAACCAATTCAACGCACAACGACATGCTTGGGCGCCTGCCACCTTTCCTTTATAGCTTACGGGCTCGACTCTTGACCTGCAATCCAAAAATATCATTCATGAAGAACACGCAAAGATAGGTATCCGCATACCGTTCCCAAAGATGCTTGAAAACAACCAACTCCGGTCACCAAGCTGAGCATGTTAACATCGAGACACACGCAACTCAGCCCGAGAGATGCTGGAAAACAACCAAGTTCGGTCGCAAGCTGAACCGTTCCAGATTGGGATGCCGTTACGGACGGCTCGCGACCTTTTCGCCTCTACTGTGATGCTAGTCGCGATGGGTTCGGCGGGACTCTCGAACAAGAACAGCCGGATGGCTCCATCCGGCCCATCGTTTTCATCAGCCGAGCTACTTTGGACTCCGAACGTCATTGGACTCCCCTCGACCTCGAGGCGGGTAGCATCGTATGGTGCATCAAACGACTTCGCGGTTATTTATGGGGCACGAAATTTCGCATTTTTACCGACCACAAATCTCTTGAGCATTTTGCCAAGGTGGGGGAGAACAATGCCCGCGTTCAGCGTTGGCTCGAATGTCTTACCGCCTACCATTACACTCTCGAGTACCGCAAGGGTTCCGCAAATGGCAACGCTGATTTCCTCTCTCGCCTTCCGATCGATACGGCGGAATGTGACCGATCTGGTCGCAGCCGCTTGACACCGGATGACGATGAGGAGAGCGTATTCTTCATCCGTTCTTGTGGCCTTACGCCTTCTGGCCATCGCGCCGTGGGTGTTGGCTTGGGTGGGCTCGTCCCCACTTCCCCGACTTCGGTCTTGGGTGGGCTGGCCCCCTCTGCAGATGATTTCGTCGACTTCCGTCGGCATGGTCCACGTCTCTCGCCGTCAGGCCTTTCGTCTCCGCCTGGCATCTGGAACATCGCACCCTGGCCGTCCAACAACCCCCGCGGGTTGTCTCCTTCGCTACGACGCCTGTGTGGCAGGACCCTCGATTGGTCTAGCTCCTTACATTCTTCGGTGGAGGGCATTTTGGCTCTCGAGCCCGAGTCTTCGCCGGCCGTCTCGCCGACTGCCGCATCACGACGGACTCTCGACCCTACTCAACTGATTTCCACGCGAACTCGCCGTCGCACGGCGGTTGTGGCAGGCACGCCCCTCCCGCCCGTGGATTATGGTTTCTCCGAGGACCCGCCTGCTCCTACTCGGATTTCCGCTTCGCCCCGATCGTTTCGACGTTCCCCGCCCGCACAATCAGCATCGACTACGCCCCCCGTTTTGACCAGGTTGGTTTCGACTCCTGGTGCTGACACTTCGATCCCAAACCTTCATACGCCTCTGGCTCGTGGAAGGGATCTTGCGTCTTCGACGCATCCTGCAACTTCGGTTGCTCCTGCCCAGCAGTCTTCTGCTGCCCCCGATTCTTCGGAATCTTCGATGCGTTCGGTTTCGACCATTCGTACGCCTTCGTCTTCGGTTTCCGCTGCTACTCTGCCTTCGGGTGGATTGCAGCCGGAGCCTCAGGAATCGGCTCCCTCTTCTATCGAGGCGGCTTTACATTCCTCGGCAGATTTAGCCTTCCGGGCGTCTGTCGAACGTTTCTCGCATGCTGATTGGGCTCGCGAGCAACGTAACGAACCTGTTTGTGATGCAGCTATTCGTTTCATCCTTCTGGGTCGGCCTTCGGCTCTCCCTTCGGATTTCCTGGATCATCTTCCGTCCGCTCGTCGACCTCCTCTGTCGGAGATTCGTGACCTGTCTAACAAAGGCCGGTTACAGGTTGACGATGATGGTTTGGTCTTGCTTGCTCGCAAGCAAACAGCGCCCCCGTCGTCTACGACCACACGTCCTGGCGGGCGTGCTGCTCGCCTTCTCAACGACGAACCCATTCGGATTCATGTTCCCATGCTCATGCGTCCGTGGATCATGCAAGCCTGTCACGCTGATGCATCCTGCCACCTCGGTGCCGCTCGCACGCTTAGCATGCTGGAACGTTTTTTTTGGTGGGTTGGCATGAGTGTTTGCACGAAGTGGTGGGTAAGGCATTGTTTGCGATGCCAAGCTCGCAAGTCATCTCGTCAAACGCCTCGATGGCCTACTTTGTGCCTTCCGCTGCCTTCGGGCCCTGGTGTGTCGGTGAGCGTCGATTACTTCGGTCCCCTCCCGTTGACACCGCGCGGAAACACATATATTCTGCTTTTCACTGATCTTTTCAGCCGCCGTGCTGACATGTACGCGGTTACGGCTGCGGAATTCAACGCCGAAGGCACCGCTGACGTACTTGTCAATCGGTATATCCCTTTATGGGGTTGCCCTTTGAGTCTCTTGTCTGATAATGGCTCTCAGGTTTGTTCTAAACTGTCGCAGGCTGTATACGCCCGTTTGGCTATCCGCAAAGTGGCTACCAGCTCTTACCATCCCAACGGCAATGGGGGTGTGGAGCGCGTAAATCACACTTTGGCTCAGATGTTGGCTATGGTCGTCCATGAGAGGCAAGATGATTGGGACATTCATCTGCCGCACATTGAGTTCGCCTACAACAATTCGGTTAGTGCCGCTACTGGTTTGGCGCCCAACGAGGTGCATATGAACCGCCTGCCACGCATGCCGATGACGGTTTTTGAGCATCCATATGCTCGGGGCCACCAAAGCTTGCATCGCGATCAACTTGAGTATTGCGATCTTGCTGCTGATCGCCAACGTCGTTCTTGCGATTTAGTTCGTGAACAGCACAACCTATCCGTTTCGCGGATTGAGCGGCGTAACTCCGCTCTGTCGGATGCTTTGCGAAAGGTTCCCTCATACACCGTCGGTGGATGGGTTTGGGTGTACAACACCGAATCTACCATTCGCCAAGGTGTTCGTTCAGGCACGGATGACAAGGTCCTCAAGGCTAAGTTGTCTTTCCTTTGGACTGGTCCGTTCAAGATCTTGGCCGTGGGTCCGTGTCCTGACGCTCCCGACGGTTGTCCTCTGGCTTCCAAGTTACTGTATTTGGATCTTCCATCGGATCTGCCGGGTCCGGACTCGAAAAACCGTGTGTCAGTTGCGTGTTGCAAGCCTTGCGCTAATCCGCATGACACTGAAGACTTGCCTCGGTTCCTGCCTGCCGGCCTTACACCGTATGTGCTAAACTCCTATACGAATAAATCTCCTCCCTACCATGTTACGGAAGACGACGTGTCTACTCCGGTCGAACATCTCGAGGTTGACCGCATTAGTGGCCATCAGTCTGTTCGTGGCCGTTGTGGCACCATCGCTGTTTTATACCACACGCATTGGAAAGGTCTTCTTCGTCCTTCTTCGGAACGTGAGATGGACCTCCAGCATTCCAAGACCCACATTCTCCGGTACTGGACGGGTTCGCCTGATCAACACCGCCAAACGAATCGCCGCTATCGGGCGATGCGTATTGGTGCGGCCACCCGCGAGATGGCGCGCGCTAAAGGTGAGCGAGCCTTGCCTTCGGGCTATTCGCTCGTCTCTCGTTCAACATGGGACCGTCGCTTCGCCAATACTCCGCTACCTGCAGGCGCCTTCTTCTGGTAAAAAGCTCGCGATGGATTCTGGTGGTTGGGCAAGATTACTGGACCGCCTCTACCGTCCGACTTCTACGTCGTCCGCGTCTTGGACGATCCTGGCCCAGTCAAGCTCGCCCTTCCTGATGTTCGCTACTCCACCGCTGAAACCGCCGTCTCCGGATCCTGGTGCCTCCAAGTTCACCGCGGCAGCGCCCTTTTTAAGGGAATCCTTCGCAACGTCGACATGTCGCGTGGTGACCCCGGGGCTGATTCGTTGCCTGATAACGTTGCGCGCCACCATTAAGACGACATGCTGGGTTGTCTTGGCTTTCTGTTGTTTTCAGCGTTGTTTGGGTTGTTTTTAGCCTTGGTTGGTTTTCCCTTTTCCCTCGCTTTCTCTAGTGCCTTTAAGGTTTTGTCCAGACCTGCAGTAGGTGTTTCGCGCCCGTTGTTGTCGTTTATTCGCTGCTGCGGCGACTGCGTGAGTGGCGTATCTTCTCGGTTCTTTTTCGATACCGGTCTGTCTTGTCGTTCCGGCTGTGATCCTTCCTTTTTGTCGTTCCGACGAGCTTTGTTTTTCTTTTCTGTTTTTCTTCCTTTCTTTGTGTCCTCCTTTCTTTGGTTCCGACCTTCTTCCGGTCGTCGTAGGCGTTTCTTAGCCCCGTCAGTTCCTTCCTGTGTCTTTTTGTCGTTTAAGAAGTCAAACGATGGTCTTGCGACTCATCGAGTGAGAGGTGTGGAAGGGTGAATTGTGCTGTTTTGGAGCTCCACATCCTCGATACGTTCTGTTGGAGTAATTGCGGTACAAGAACGACTCGCTATTCTACTGCATGGGTTTATGCGGTATTGTGAAGGCGTTGCCAAGTCTGTAACCGTCAGGTGAAGACAGCTTGAGCGTCTGTGTGGATAATAATATCACTCTGTGTGTTTGCCTACCTAACCTCGCATCACATGCCAGCTACTTTGTAGCCACA